AGACATTTCTGCAAGGTAAACTCATCAGTACTAGAAGGGAGCAGGACTCTAGCATTCCCTTTTCTAGCACTGATAATGTTACCTAGTCGGGTCATGAAACGTCTGCAAGAAAACCACCAAGCTCAGAGAGCACCCAGGACCCCACCGTTCAACCCCCAGCTACAAATATTCTCTTCTAAAGCTCAACACATTCGACAACAACCCTCTCCCCCCGGCGGCAGGCGAATCGCCGGCGAAGAAAAAACCCCGTACACACCTTGGACTTGTGAACTTCTAGAAAATGTTGGCAGAAGGTTAGAGAGCCACTCCATGCTGCTGTCTGCTCTGGGGCACCTTCCAGTTTGGCAGTTGTCCTCCCTTTCTGGAAACCATTGATAGATTTTTATTTATAGTATTGTACCGATGCGATACTATGCAGCGCAACGAGCAGGCGAACGCTGCTGGCCTTTATTCCTTTGCTTGTAGTGTTCTCAGATCCATTTACGAGAAGCACGCCACTCGATAATGTGGTTATTTTGGATCAGATCCAGCCCGGCCATCTATTATTATGTTCTCTACTGCCTGGAGGAAAGGTGATCAGCTCCCGTAAGCACCATGTGGTAGCTGTTCTCTTTTCTTTTTCTTCCTTCCTTTCTTCCTTCCTTCCTTCCTTCCTTCCTTCCTTCCTTCCTTCCTTCCTTCCTTCCTTCCTTCCTTCCTTCCTTCCTTCCTCTCTCTTTCCTTCCTTCCTTCCTTCTTTCTCTCCCCTCTCTCCTGCCAGCCATCCCTTCCTTCCTTCCTCCCTTTCTCTTCCCATCTCCTTCCTTCCTCCCTCCCTCCCTCCCTCCCTTCTTCCTTCCTTCCTTCCTTCCTTCCTTCCTTCCTTCCTTCCTTCCTTCCTTCCTTCCTTCCCTCCCTCCCTCCCTCCCTCCCTCCCTCCCTCCCTTCTTTCTTTCTTTCTTTCTTTCTTTCTTTCTTTCTTTCTTTCTTTCTTTCTTTCTTTCTTTCTTTCTTTCTTTCTTTCTTTCCAGTATTCAAATGTATGCCTAAGGCCCTCCACTTGTTTGCCTGAATGGGACAGGAGTAGTTGGGCCCCTGGGATGTGTGGATCCCAGGACAGAACAGAATGACCGAGTTGGAAGGGACCTTAGAGGTCTTCTAGTCCAACCCGCTGCTCAAGATCCTCCTTGTTCTAAGTATTTTTTTTCCCCCAACTGGAAAGTAACAAATCAGAATATATATATATAAAGATGGAATATATCCCATTCAAGAGAATTCTGCTCCTCTTGCCCTGGCCAGCTCTATTTATTCACAGCGGCATAGTGGGGAAGGGATAAATTAAAATAAACAAAGGGCGTAAATAGCTTGACTAATTAGCAGAAGTGGGAAAGGAACCCTCAAAGTTCTCTAGTGAAAGGTGAACCCAGCTCTGAAGCAGGGGGAGGAGCAGATTTTCCCAGCTTGGGAAAGTTCCCCCTTTTCAATAAGATTATACTTTTAAATTACCCCTAATCAGAGCAAGGTGACTAATGGTTAAACACACAGCCTGGCTGCTGGAAAGACAAATAGCCTGTGTTTACTCTGAGTACTTCTCTCTCTCTCTTTGTCTCTCTGTCTCTGTCTCTCTCTCTCTCTCTCTGTCTCTCTCTCTGTGTCTCTCTTTATCTCTCTCTTTCTCTCTCTGTCTCTTTCTCTCTCTTTCTCTCTCTCTCTCTCTCTCTCTCTCTCTCTCTCTCTCTCTCTCTGTGTCTCTTTCTCTGTCTCTGTCTCTCTCTCTTTTTCTCTCTGTCTCTCTCTCTGTCTCTCTCTGTGTCTCTCTCTTTCTCTCTGTGTGTCTCTCTCTCTTTCTCTCTCTGTCTCTGTCTGTCTGTCTCTCTCTCTCCCCCTGAGATTTCTGCTGAAATTACTCAGTTTTCCAGTGAATTATTCAGAGGGAAGGGAAAGCGAAGAGGCAGTTCTTGTTGGTGTTCTCTTATATAATATCTACGTTTTCTGAAGCTAAACTATGCAAAGCTCTGGTGAGGAGAACCACCGCCCAGTTTCCTTCTCCCTTAACAAGTTCGGATGGAAATTCCAAAACCGAGAGAAGATTGGTAGCTCAGGGTTGACCTGTGGAGTCTTCAGTGCTCTCTGAGCTGGGTTGTTTTTTTGCAGATGTTTTATGATCCAACTAGGCAACATCATCAGTGCTAGAAGGGAGTAGTGTTTGCAGAGGAGGAGGAGGAGGAGAAGTGTGGGGTCCTTGGTGTTCTCTGAGTTTGCTTGTTTTCTTGCAGACGTTTCACTACCCAACTAGGTAACGTCATCAATGCTACGAGAGAATAGAGTTTGCAGAGTGGGGGGGGGGAGGAGGAAGAACTGTGGGGTCCTTGTTGTTCTCTGAACTTGATTGTTTTCTTGCAGATGTTTCATTACTCAAGTAGGTATCATCATTAATGCTAGAAGGGAATGGGGTTTGTGGAATGGAGAAGGAGGAGCAGGACAACTGTGGGGTCCTTGATGTTCTCTAAGCTTGATTGTTGTCTTGCAGACATTTCATTACCCAAATAGATGACATCATCAGTGATAGGCAGTGTAACGTGCTTCCTGTTTATATACAGTAGCTCCTAGCTTGGTACTTGGAAAATAAGACTTCAGCTTTCATCTCATTCTACATAGTGGAGATTTAGCTGACATCTGCAGGTTCCTAATATCCTTGGCCTCCCTTTTGTGACTTGCGTGCAGCAACATTTGCAGCACAATATCTTTATTCCTTGACTCGGTAGTCTCCAGGATTCTTCAGTGTTCATGGAAATGCATGCAGATTCAGATCTGGTAGGCAGAGGGAAAAAAAATAAAATAAAATTGAGTACCTTCCTTGCGCAGCTGGGAACCAGAAGCAAAGAAAGGAGACTTGGATCGAGCTATTTCTATGCAAAAGCACTGTTGTTCTTTTCTAAAAATACCCAGATAGTGGCGACATGTCCACGTGGTCACACACATTCAGCTTACCTCTCTCTTTTCTTCATTAAAATGATCTCTTTATTTTACAAGAGAAATCACACTTGTTCTCAATTTTGTCCTGATGTATTTAGGGAGGCGAGCACCTATCCTTCCCTTGAATTTACTCAGAACAGCAGAATTGGAAAGTTGGAAGGGACCTTGGAGGTCTTCTAGTCCAACCCCCTGCTCAGGCAGGAGACCCTACACTATTCCTTTGCTTTGGAGTGAGGTGAAGAGTGTCTCCCACATTTGATTTCTCAGTGGGAAACAACAATATATGGATGTCACATTCTCTTAGAGTGTAAAATAATAACAGAGTTGGAAGGGACCTTGGAGATCTTCTAGTCCAACCCCCTGCTTAGCCAAAGAAACTGTCAACACTGCTAACATCGGATGTTTTGCATTGACAACAGATGGAAATGTAGCCATCTTTTCCCCTTTTGCTTTTAGAGTTAGATGATGCTGGGAGGGGGGAGGGATGTGCATTAGAGTCCAGCCAGACATAACAACACTAAACTTAGGGTGAGAATCAAGGTTATTGTAACCAGAGCTGATGAGGAATTGGCGGGCTGGAGAACTGGAGAGGAAGCCCACGCTTCAAGCTAATTGGGGAATGTGATTTATGACTGTTAATTGGAGGAGGGAATTGTGTTTTGATACTATGTGCCCAGGGGAGGGGAATTCAGTTTTTGGCTTCGATTATGCAAGTGTCGATACTATGCTACTCGAATAAAAGATCCTTTAAGGTAAACAATGCCTCAAAGTTCTTTTGAAGAGTTTCATCTGTTGGAAACTCTCTACCATTTCAGACAAATCGTTGTCCAATATCTTCTTAAAAACCTCCAGTGATGGAGCATCCACAATTTCTAGAGGCAAGCTGTTCCACCGATTAATTGTTCTGACTGTTAGGAAATTCCTCCTTAGCTCTAGGTTGCTTCTCTCCTTGATTAATTTCCATCTGTTGCTTCGTGTATGCACCTTAGGCCACAGGCGAGTCTCCAGATGTTGGACATGGCCAGGAGAGAGTAAAAAAATTCACCAACATCTGGAAGGCTACATGTTGCCCTCCGGTTGTCTGCACTTAACCACTGGCTTCTGAGGCCCCTGGTCTGTTCATCTGGCTTCTGTTTACAGGAGTTAAGGAGCCTTTTTTAGGGCTTGCTTCAATGTTACACGCACAGGGAGAAGGGAAGGAATTAGTCAAACGTTAAGAACTCAGCATTTTCCACGAGAGCGGAGTTGTTCCTAATGGGGGCGGGGGCGATGGGGTGGTGGTGGGAGTAAATGGATTTCAGTGCCTTAAACACAGATTTGGTTGGTTGGGCAGAAAGTATTCAGGCAACAAATAAATAAATAAAAACACATCGCACGTTTGCTAAAACAGGAGTGTTTCTGTTTGCATCGGAGCAAATTGCAATATCATTGTTCTTGTTCAGCTATTTTTTTTTTCTTTTGATGGATTGATGGATTGATTATGTGCTATCAAGTCATTTCCCCCTATTGGCGACCACAGGGAGATTGATAGCTAGTCTAAAATATGTGAGGAACGACACCTGTCTTCCCAGTGGCCTCCAAAAACAGGTAGTCCTTGACTCACAACATTTAGTGAGTGTTGGAGGCGACAACAGCACTGGAAGAAGTTACTTACGGCCCTTTTTCAGACTTAGCGACCGTCCGCAGCATCCCTCTGGTCAGGTGATCAAAATTCGGAGGCTTGGCAACTGACATGTACTTAGGACGGTTGCAGTGTCCCGGGGTCACGCAATCCCATTTTGGGACCTGACAAGCAAAGTCAACAGAGGAACCAGATTTGTTGAACAACCGCGTGACTAATTTAACAGCTGCCGTGATTCGCTTAACAGCGGGGCCAGGGAGGTCGTAAAATGGGGCAAAATTCCCTGAACAAATGTCTCGCTTAGCGACAGAAAAAAATCTGGGGCTCCCTTGCAGTCGTATGTCAAGGGCTGCCTGTACACCATCTGCGGATGGGTGGGTGGTGCGATTTTGGTGCCTGCTCACCCCACCTCTCTGTTTTCCAGACTAACGACGCTGCAGGGAACATGTGGAATTGGCTTTACTTCATCCCCCTCATCATCATCGGCTCCTTCTTCATGCTCAACCTGGTCCTTGGTGTCTTATCAGGGTAAGGACGCCTTTCCTTGCTCTTCCACCCTGCGTTTGTGGGGTGGGTGGGTCCATCTCCATTCCGGGAAGAAGAGCTGAGAGAAGAGAATATTTGTATCTCAGGGTTCAACTGTGGAGTCCTTGGTGCTCTCTGAGTGTGGTGGTTTTCCTGCAGACATTTCATGACCCAGCTAGGTAATATCATCAGCGCTAGAGTGAAGGGGGGGGTATGGGGAGAGGAGGAGGAGGAGAGGAGTGGAGGGGGAGGAGGACTGTAGGGCCCTTGGTGCTTCCTGAGCTTGGAGGTTTTCTTGCAGATGTTTCATTCCCAAACTAGGTAACATCAACAGTGCTAGAGAGAAGGGGGCTATGGGGAGGAGGAGGAGGAGGAGGAGGGGAGGGGGAAGGAGGAGGACTGTGTGGTCCTCCTTAGTGCTCTCTGGGCTTCATTCTTTTCTTGCAGACCTTTCATTACCCATTCATTACATCAGTGCTGATGTCACCACTGAGGAGCGCTGATGATGTTACCTAGTTGGGTAATGAAACGTTTGCAAGAAAACCACCAAGCTCAGAGAGCACCAAGGACCCCACAGTCATCCTCCTCCTCCACTGCACACACCCCACTCCCTTCTAGCACTGATGATGTTAGCTAGTTGGGTCATGAAACATCTGCAAGAAAACCAGCCAGCTCTTGAGACCACTAATAATCCTGCAGAAAGAAGAGCATTCAGACTGGTTTAAAGATTTGGAACAAGAAGCATTTGCCCTCAAGAATAGATAGGAAGGGATATCATAAAAGGGAATATGGGTACGGAAGACAAAGAGAAAGAAAAGCGAGGCTTCCATTATTGTTGACACTTCTTTCAACAATAGATCAATCTTTGGATGATGTGGAATCCGTTTTCCAGGGGAAAGATAGTGGATTTATACTCCGAGCAGAGGACAGACTAGAAGACCTCAATGGCTCCTCCCAATTCAATGGGACAATTCACCTACCTGTAGGACTCCTTCGGTCATCTTGATCCTCACAGCCTGAATGCAATAGACACCTCAATGCAGCTTCAAAAAGAAGGGATGGACACCAGACTAACACACCCAAGGTGGTGCATTGTTACAAGCACTCATGCTAAGACCATTTTGATCAGGGATCAATTTTCTAGCCAAGATCAGACTCATTGTAGTCGAGTGTATGTGTATGTGGGGATGTCTACAAAACCATCTTGCGTCAATTACTGAAGACAGATGGCATCAAAAATGCATTGACTCCTCCCTGCCTCCGTGGTCTCTTTCTACGTTCTGGATTGCTTTGATCTTTCCCCTTGGGGGAATCTAGGTTCTCGTGCGCTGCTGTTGAGTTGCAGAAGGAAGCTTGTTCTCCGTTCCTCAGCTCCTCTGGGCTGATATGAATAATGCAGGCACTGCAGTATGAAGCTAGGCTTTTTAGAGGGAAGGGATGTGGGAGCAAGTCAGCCTGCTGATCTCCTAGAAGCCTTCCTTAGGACGACCTTCCTAAGCTACTCCTTGGCCCAGATCCTCTTCAAAGTAGCCTTATGAGTTCAAGAAGAATAGGACTCTAATCCTTCACGGGATCGATCGATCAGAATAGAGCTGGAATGGACCTTGGAGGTCTTCTAGTCCAAGCAGGAGACCCTATACCATTTCAGACAAATGGCTGTCCAATCTCTTCTTAAAAATGTCCAGTGATGAAGCACCCACAACTTCTGGTGGCAAGCCATTCCACTGGTTGATTGTTCTGACTGCCAGAACATTTCAACTTAGTTCTAGGTTGCTTCTCTCTTTGTTCAGTTTCCATCCGTTGCTTCTTCTCTTGCCTTCTTGTGCTTTGGAAAATAAGTGGACCCCCTCTTCTTTACTGCAGCCCTTCAAATATTGGAACACTCCTCTCCTGTCACCCCTAGTTCTTCTTGCCACTGGACTAGACATACCCAGTTCCTCCAACCATTTGCCATACCTCTGTGGAGATTCACAGTCATCTAGATCATAGTTGTTTCAGAGGTGCTTAAAAAAAGAAAGAAAGCAATTACAACTGATGAAGCTTGGATTCTTGGTTAAGAAGTGAAATGTTTCCTTCTTCCTCCTCAAATAAAAAACAGTCCAGTTTCCTTTTTTCTTTCTTTCTTTCTTTTTTTTTTTTAAAAAAGCACCTTTCAGAAACCTTACAGATGTTCTTGCTGGTCACTCTGAAAATTAGTCGCCTTTTACTTGACATCAAGCAGCTTCGGGTGACCTAGATTTTTACCAGATCAGCTGTAGTTCAGTAGATACAGTGCTTGATTTGCATGCACGATGCCCCAGTTTTGATTCTCAGCCTCTTCACGGTGGGAAATAATTCAGCTTGAAAGGCTAGGAAGTTGACGCTTGCCAGAGGAGACAACATGGATCTAGCTGGATCGGTGAACTAATCTGATACAAGACTTGTCTTCTGGAACTGTAGACCCTCTTCTTTGGGGCAGCCCCTCAAATACTGGGCTCCTTCTATGATGCCCCTCCCCAGTTCTTCTTCTTACCCACATCCTGCAACCGCTCCTCCTCTCTTTTAGTCTCCAATCCCCTAATCATCTCTGTCCTTCTTCAAAGACCTTGGCTTCACAGCCTTGGGCTGCCACAAAGCCCTTTTTAAGTCCTATTTTTAGGCATTCAGACTCTGCCTCCCTTTTCTGGCCATCATTTTTCCCCCCCTGCTGCAACAATAGGCACAATCCATCTATCCCCCCTGACCTATTTTAGTGTCCCCACCTGGAGAATTCATTTGCGCTCCACCTCCTGCCCCTTGGGGAGGGGCCATGGGGAGAAAAAGAAAGGGAAAGAGAGGAAAAAAAGGGTCAAAGAAAGAGAGAAAGTCGGATTTCTCAGATTTTCAGAAATGGCAGAGGCAGAGGAAAGAGTCCTATACAGCTAGTCCTTGATTTACGGCCACCATGGAGCCTAACATTCCTGTTGCTAAGAGAGACAATGTGTTAAGTGAGTTTTGCCCCATTTTTATGAGCTCTCTTGCCACAGCCGTTAAATGAATCACTGGGATGAAGGTTGCACTCAAATTCATCTGTTTCTTCCCCGCAGTGAGTTTGCCAAAGAACGAGAAAGAGTGGAAAACCGGCGAGCTTTCCTGAAACTACGAAGACAGCAGCAGATTGAAAGAGAGCTTAATGGATACTTGGAGTGGATCTTTAAAGCAGGTAAGTTGGGGGGGGGGGGGATTGCAAATGCGAGGCCTCGAAAGCTAAGCGGCTATTCAAAAGAGGTCCTGTCTCTCTCGACCTTTCGGACGGCCGAAGAAGGTTCAACGCAATTGACAGATTGGCCCGTCGATTTGCACGCGAATTTCCCGCCCGGCCTTCTCTCTTCCCGCCACTAACGTTGAGCCGATTGTCTTGATGTTCTCTTCCCAGTGCAGAGCAATAAAACCCGGTCCATTCATGGTTTGTTGACTTCATTTCTTCCTTTTCCTGAACTTACCACCCTAACCTAGCCCCACTTTTTTTGTTGCAAAGCAAGACATTCATTGGGTGAATTTTACGATGGGGGGGGGTGTTAAGTGAATGAAAAAGGTGCCTTTCAAGCCCTATAATTCTATGTTATACTGAATTGTTTGTTTGTGTGTGTGTATAAAATTGCTTACAATTTGGAGTTGACTAGCATCTTGGATTTAACGTGTATCAGAGACTACAGTAGATGTCGCATATTGGGAGTGAGTTTGTATAGGAGAGTCATTGTCGTTTTTTTAAAAAACCTCTTTGGATTTTTAGAGACACGTTACATTTTTTTCCCCCTCTATCAATTTGGCATCTGTTTGAGCTCTGGAGAATTGAGAAGCTTGGGCAATGATGAGGCAGAAAATAATAAATGGATGCAAAAGCAGTATTCCAAAATTAGGAGGAAGATGTTCCAACATCCCAGGGCATATGGCTGTTGACCTATAGTAGGCAATTTTTGAACATCACGATGGTCTCTGCACAACAGGGAGCACCAGAATGACAAGTCGTGGCCATTTGTCAATGTAGGCTGAACATGAGCACATACATTGAAGCAGAATAACAGAGTTATTCTGACCTTAGAGGTCTTCTAGTCCAACCCCCTGCTCAGGCAGGAAATCCTATACCATTTCAGGCAAATGGTTGTCCAGTCTCTTCTTAAATACCTCCAATGTCATTGCACCCACCACTTCTGCAGGCAGGTGGTTCCACTGCTTAATTGTTCTGTCAGGAAATTTCTCCTTGTTTCTAGGTTGCTTCTCTCCTTGATCATTTTCCATCCATTGCTTCTTGTCCTGCCTTCAGGGGCTTTGGAGAATGGCTTGACTCCCTCTTCTTTGGGGCAGCCCCGGAGATATTGGAATACTACTATCATGTCCCCCCTCGTCCTTCTTTTCATTAAACTAGACACACCCAATTCCCGCAACCGTTCTTCGTATGTTTTAGACTCCAGTCCCCTAATCATCTTTGTTGCTCTTCTCTGCACTCTTTCTAAAAAGTCTCAACATCTTTTTTTTATAATTAGCCTGCTGTTACTTTCCCCCACATTTTGCCTCTTCCCATAAGCAACTTGTAAACATACTCCCCTCTGCCAGCTTTGGATCCTACCGCATGTGTCTGAATGGTTTGTTTTATGAAAAGGATGCTCATTAATATAACACATACGAAGAGTCAAGAAGAGACGAAGCTATATATTCACGGCCTGTCCCTCTTATGCACGGAAATATTTGCATGCCTTAAGGTTGGCCTCTGCTGTCAAATCCTCATTAATTTTTTAACAGGAGCCAGATGATTACAAACAGCAGGCAACATGTTTGCTATTTCCTTGTCTTGCTGTTGCCAAATAATTCCTGTCTATTACCAGGGGTGTCTCTCCAGAAGTGATGACTATTTTCTTTATCTTTTTCTTAACCAGTCAAGCCAAAAAAAGAAAAGAAAAACGGAGAGAGGAAAATTAGAACAATCAACACCAGCTACTTTCTGTTAGCTTGTTATTTTTTATCTGTTGGTGTTGCTTAGCTGTTGAGATAGACACGGTGACCTACACATTAATGAGTTCAGTCTGCAACAGGGAAAGGCAAAATGAATGTGGCTTTTCCCCTGAGTGGCGTCTTTAGTCCAATCAGGAAGAATGTGCAAGAAGGATTTATCTACCCTAACAACGGTTAAAGTTACACCATTTTTCACTGATGGATTTAGAAAAAAAACTATGGATGATCTTTTACCCTCCTTTTACTACGTCTTTCCCATTTTTCTTTGACGATTTTATTTTATAGCCATGTTGAGGATGAATTGATATTAACCTATACATTTTTAAATTAACAAATTGTGGAGACAAGAATAGACAAGAATAGGACCCCATAATTAAGAGTGTGGAAACATCGTAAGTGACCTTTGGTTTCAGATCTATCCCTTTCCTTTCCTTTCCTTTCCTTTCCTTTCCTTTCCTTTCCTTTCCTTTCCTTTCCTTTCCTTTCCTTTCCTTCCATTCTACTCCAGTCCACTCCATTCCATTCCATTCTCTCCTCCCTTTCCTTCTCCCTCCCTTTCCTTTCCTTTCCTTCTCCCTCTCTTTCCTTTCCTTTCCTTTCCTTTTCTTCTCCCTTCCCTTCTCTTCTCCCTTCCCTTCCCTTCCCTTCCCTCCCTTCCCTTCCCTCCCTTCCCTCTCCAGATTCTGTTTGGTAAATCTCAGAATATTTGTCTATGGGAATTCTCAGAATATTTAAAAACAAATAAGTTCCAGAAACCTGAAATGTGCCAACCAACTCAGTTCGAAGACTTTTCTCTAAACTATCCCCATCGTTGATTATGAAGCGTTTAGAGGTGCTGTGATTCTCTCTCGTGTCCCCAAGTGATACAAGGCTAAGCAAGGTTCTTTCTGTGTTTTCAGAGGAGGTGATGTTAGCAGAAGAAGACAAGAATGCTGAAGAGAAATCTCCCTTGGATGGTGAGTCTCCTGGCTATTCATTTCTCTCCTTGTATGTTGACTCTATAGCTTTTAATACAGGGGTCTTCCAACTTGGCCCTGTTATGACTTGTGGACTTCAACTCCCAGAATTCGTCAGCCAGGCACGCTGGTTGAGGAATTCTGGGGGTTGAAGTCTACAAGTCATAAAGGGGCCAAGCTGGAAGACCGCTATTTTAATACAAATGGCAGGATAGATACAGAAACCAAACTTAGAAGCAAGAACAGAAAAATATTTCAGCACCACAGACAGCTCAGAATCTGCCTTTCACTTATAGCAGGGGTCTTCCAACTTGGTCCCTTTGATGACTTGTGGACTTCAACTTCCAGAATTCCTCAGCCAGGCACACTGGCTGCGGAATCCTGGGAGTTGAAGTCCACAAGTCATAAAAGGGCCAAGTTTGAAGACCCCTGACTTATAGAGTGAGAGTTCACACAGATTGATTCAATATTTTTTTTTATTTCTGATAAAAGGAGAATATTTGTAGCTCAGGGTTGAGATGAAATGAAATGGGTCATGAAATGTCTGCAAGAAAACAAACCAGCTCAGAAGGCACCAAGGACCCCTCACTTTGTTGAGTTGTTCTACTGATATCCCGCCTTTGGTTCAGCAGCTCAAAATAGTGGATATAATGTTCCTTTTCCCCCCACCACAGCAAAATCCCATGGAGATACATTGGGCTGAGAGAGAAAATGACTTCCCCAAAGTCATCAAGCTAGCTTTTGTTATCATCATGTTGTTTACCGCCTTAAGGCTAACATCTAATCTAGTGTTATTTGGAATGGGAACATTGATATATGACACTAGTGATTTTGGAGGTGTTTTTTTTAAAGACCCCTTCTCATTGGCCAAATTACTGGTCCTTGAGAACTGGAGGCACAAAAACACTTGAGAATCAAGACTGGGACAGCATTCTTGGTGAGCAGCATTGTTTTGGGACATTATGTCAAATTATGTTCAATGCTGAAATCGTGGAGCAGGCACCTCCCGATCACGGTCCATTGGAAAGTGGCAAAATTATGATTTTAATAGAACAACAGGGAGACTTTTCCTTGGCTTTTTTTGATTCTGATGTAAGGCCACTATGGGAAAAAAAATAGTTATGAGTTGCATAACTCATAAGTTCACCAACATCCATCCTCGGCCCCTGTTTTGATTGCTTTGAAGATGTTCAGAGATGGTTGAAGGAAGCTGTGCTTAGCTGGAAGGCTAAATAAATAATGGTCTTTGCCAGGAAAGGATGGAAAAAAAAGAACTCTTGAGGGGTTGATAGGCTGTCAAGTGATTGGTCTATGGATGCTTTGAAGCCATCCTTCAGATGGAAAGCAATTTGAGTCTCAAAGCTGTAGAAAGTTGAAGAAGTTTCAGTCTCTGCTGAAATCTAATGGCCCTGTCATTTATTGCCTATTTCTCCCCTTTTCTGCCCTCCCCCCCCACTTTTGGTATCTAGTGCTGAAAAGAGCAACGATAAAGAAAAGCAAAAATGATCTAATCCATGCTGAAGAGGGAGAAGATCACTTCACAGATGTTTGCTCTGTGGGTAAGTTTAAGGAGGGACATTCTCCTTCTCTGGCAGATGGTCTCTGTTCCAAAGCCAGAGGTTTAGGGTCATAAATGAGCAAAACATATTGTCAACTCAATCCCAGGGGTTGCCTGTGTTTAGTTACAGGATGCCAGTTTGGGAAGTAGGCTAAGAAGAATGCAAATAGATCAGGCTCCAGATTCATCTCCCATTGACCAACTGAATGCATTTGGGAAGGTCTCAACTTTCTCAAATGGAAGGGTAACAGTTTCTTTCCAGTGTTCTTTCAATGCAACAAGCATTTATGACCAGCTGCTTAGGGTCCAGGGGGCACGATGGCTCAGTGGCTAAAGATGCTGAGCTTTCAGCTGAAAAGCCGGTAACCCAGGTTTGAGACCCAAGCACCTCACGATTGAGTGAGCTCCCGTTCCTTGCTCCCGTTCCTGCCAACTTAGCAGTTCAAAAGCATGCAGATGCGAGTAGATAAATAGGTACCGCTTTGGTGGGAAGGTAACAGCATTCTGTGTGCCTTGGCCATAGCTGTGCTGGCCACATGACCCTGGAAAATGTCTTCAGACAACGCTGGCTCTCTCAGCTAAGAAATGGAGACGAGCACCATGCCCTAGAGTCAGACACATGACGGACAGGGAAACCTTTACCTTTTTTGCTCAAGTGTCAAGAGTGAAAATTTGGCAGCCATGTGCCTCTTGGTTTTCAACGTGCCACTAGAGTAAGCGGGGTGAGTGTGTGTGTGAAATGCTTTCGAGTGGGTGAGTTAGAGAAACGAAACCTCTTCAGTTTTTTTTTTTTTTTTTGAGAGAAAACTGTCTGGAACTTTTTCAAGGACATTCTAGCAGGTGTGAAGAAAATAGCAGACGGTTCTCATAACAAAGAGAAATTGTTTACGGGAGCTCCGTGGACATCTGGGGGTCTTTGATTGGGAATGTCATTGTTATATGCTTTGGTTAGATGCCTTGGGATTTTAGGGTTAGTTTCCCTTTGCCTACATCCACAGAGGGCTAAAACCAAAGTGTTAACATTTCCCCTTGGAAGGACTTCACTTCATCTGGATTCCGTCCCCGGTTTTAGAATTTTCTCCTGCGTGCGCTTCCTCCCACGTCTCAGAAATGGCACGCTCTTAATGGCTGAAGGCTTTATAGCGTTTTAATATGGATAATTTCTTGACGCGCTTATGAGAGCTTGTAGGAAATTTACGGTATAATTATCCACTGGCCCCCAAAAAGGGCTGACTGTCAGGGACCTTTTGCCAACTGTTCTGTTTTATGAGTTGTTTTCTAATTCCTTTAAATTGGTCTGCAAGAACCTCGTAATCACTTCCCAAAGCAACATGTGGTGGCCACTGATAGAATTTGCTTGATTAAAGAAAAGATCGGGTGGAGATTTAACGATCTTCCAAATGCAGGAGAAAAATACACACTGAAGCCTCGTCAAGACGAAGGCTGAAATTGTGCGTGTGCTAATGCCAGGCAAAGGAACCAGACATATTACACACCGTTTGTGACTCCTGCTATCATTTCTATTACTATCACTGGTTATAATTGATCCAATTACAAACGTGAAATCTTTCACGGACAAACAAAGGCAGTGTTGTCTATGCAGCTGCCTTGCTGAAGCGATGAGAGCCTTTGCCTCAGCCAGATGGATCCCATTCATAAAGAGAGAGCAGAACAAGCTTGGGTAAATGGATAAAGAGCCCCATAAATTTGGTTATCCATCTAGAGCAGGGGTCCCCAACCTTTTGGAGAGGTTACGTGGAGAGGGTTTTTTTTCGTGGACTGGAGGAGACGTGGTTTTGCGCGCTGCCTGCATCCTGTGGATGGGCTTTGCTTCCAGTTTCTGGAATGCCGTGGACTGGTCCTGGTCCATGGACCAGGGCTTGGGGACCCCTGACCTAGAGAACACAACAGCATGAAAAACGGAGCACAAGCTAGGGTAAGATCTCAGTTCTGTAACCGTGATGCAGAAAATAAAATTATTTGTTGCATGATATGCAACAAGCCCAGGATTACCTAAAGATAGGTTGGCCAACTGCCAACTAGGCAAGGAGGAGGGATCAAGCAGGGAGCCAGCCTTGAGTCCTTGCGCAGCTGCGAAAGACCTAGAACTATGTTTCATGAAATTTTGTCTGTTTGTTCTCAAGGGAAGATTCTTGTATTATAGGCAAGATGCAATAAAGTAGTCAGCACGAACCCTATCAATGTGAATATGATCTCTTGGGGTTACAGCTGGGATATTTTTTGTTTCTTGGGAGGTCTCCTTCCCCCTTTCAGATTGAACGTCCTTTCTTCTGTGACCACAGGGTCTCCGTTTGCCCGGGCCAGCCTAAAGAGCGGGAAGACTGAAAGCTCCTCCTACTTCCGTCGGAAAGAGAAGATGTTCCGCTTTTTCATTCGGCGCATGGTGAAGGCCCAGAGCTTCTACTGGATTGTCCTCTGTGTGGTGGCCCTCAACACTATGTGTGTGGCCATTGTGCATTATGATCAACCAGAAGGTCTCACTACCACGCTTTGTAAGTAAGGTCTTCTTCGGCCAATTCTACTTCAACCCACCAGGTTGGAGATTCTCAATCCTCCAGGTCCTGGTCACGATTGTCCCAAAGGTGCTTTTTTCCAAAGGCAACTGGATTTTCTTGGGTTTTTTTCCCCTTGAACACGTTTCACTTCTTATCCAAGAACTGAAGAACTAGACTAAAGAAATTTTGCTGATGAGAAGTGAAAGGTTTTCAGGGAAAAAAACAACCACCAAGAAAGTCTAGCTGCCTTTTGGAAAAGCACCTTTTCCTTCAGCACCAGTGATGGTGAACAGCACCAATGCCTGGATCTTTGCTGATCTTCCATTAACAGGAACTCGTTCTAGCTACAATCCACAGCGGGACTTTCTCATTGCCCATATCTATGACTTGAATCAATGACCTGAAGGAAATTGGCTGATTCAGCTAAAGGTCTCCAAATCCATTCGGTAGTATGAGTAACAGAGTTGGAAGGACTTTGGAGGTCTTCTCATTCAACCCCCTGCTCAGGCAGATCTGATTACCATTCCAGACAAATGACTGCCCAATCTCCTCTTAAAAATCTCCAGTGATGGAGCACCCATGGTTCCTGGAGGCATCCCGTTCCACTGGTTAATTGTATGGGAGCACAAAAGCTCCTCTTTTTAATTGAACTGGAAAATCTGGTTGGATTTATCCAATTTCCAGAATTGGATTGACTAAACTATCCCTATCAAATCAAGAGCCCCTCTGCCCACTCGGAGATACTCAGCCATTTCTTCTTCAGATACTAGTGGTTGCAACTGCCCCCATCACTGTAACTGGAGGCTTGCAAGTTCTGAGTAAACACCCCCAGGTATTTCTGCCCACACTGAGCAAAGTGGAAAAAGAATTTCCATGTTACCATTTGAAGCTTAACAAGCGAGATGTAAGCTTGACCTCTTTTTGGGAGATGAATTAGAGCGAAATCAGAAGCTGGTTTTTCTGAGATTTGCAAGATCTTTGTTCTTTTCCATAAAGGAATATAATAAAGCAATAGGAGTTCAGAGAGCTGGATATTTTTCAGATTTAAAACTTTTCCTCCATGTAAGTTGGGGCTAATTGGCTAAAAGGGGCATTTGTCTTTCTTCTTCTTCTTCTTCTTCTTCTTCTTCTTCTTCTTCTTCTTCTTCTTCTTCTTCTTCTTCTTCTTCTTCTTCTTCTTCTTCTTCTTCTTCTTCTTCTTCTTCTTCTTCTTCTTCTTCTTCTTCTTCTTCTTCTCCCCCCTCCTTTTTTTTTTAAAAAAAAAGTAAAATAAAATAGCAGGGAACGAGAGTTCACTTTCCCAGAAATGATTTCAGCAGAAGATTTTTTTAAAATTTTATTTTATTTTTCCTCCCTAAAGAAGAGAACTTTATGAACAGACATTCATCTCCCAGCTGGTGTCAGAAAGAATGTTCTTGTTAATTACCAATTGAGTGAAAAATTATACAGGCTACATAGAGCGAAGGAAAAAGAAAGAAAGAAAAGGCAGAGCCCATTTTAATCACAAAAAAATGGGATAAAAGCAGAGAAATATTTCAACAGCATGGAAGCTCAGGAAGAGAAGAAGCATTGTGAATAGCTGACAGGTGCATCGGCTGAGGAGGATGGTTGAACAAGATGAATCTCTTGGGCGAAAAAACCCAAGGATTGGTATCTTAAAAAGACACCAAGCAAACACTTGTAGGGAAAACAAAGCATGAAGCATCTTCTAAAGCAGGTCGAGCAAGTAGCCTGGAAGTGGATTTCAAGGAATGAGATATAACGTAAGGAGGGAAAACTAATGAAGGAGAGAAGCAACCTAGAACTAAAGAGAAATTTCCTGACAGCGAGGACAATTAACCATTGGAATGACTTGCCTCCAGAAGTTGTGAATGCTCCAAGATGGGAGGTTTTTAAGAAGAGATTGTCTATTCTATTCTATTCTATTCTATTCTATTCTATTCTATTCTATTCTATTCTATTCTATTCTATTCTATTCTATTCTATTCTATTCTATTCTATTCTATTCTATTCTATTCTATTCCATTCCATTCCATTCCATTCCATTCCATTCTGTATTATATTAAATCCAGGGATGGTCAAATGGGATTGCATTTGCTTTCCGATTACATGGACAAGGTTAAGTTAGAAGAAACTGGGACGGTGATCCATCAGCTGGAAGGATGGTGGAAGACAGGAGACCTTGGTTAGGAAGATGGATGGATGGATGGCTAATTGTGAACACTGCTAGAGAGGTCCCAATAGAACTGAAAATTTTAACTCAGATGGGTAGCTGTGTGGATCATGGTGAAAAAGAGTTTTTTTTTTTTAAAGGGAAGAGTGAAAGAAAGAAGTGATAGAAATATGAGATTTAAGTTGTAGCAAAGCAAGACAATCCAGGATGGTGTAATATCCCAAGGAGAGGACTCTGTTGGAAGCTAGACCAATATTTCAATGTTGCTTCAGCAACACAAAGTCTTAGACCAAGTGTAAAATAGTGTTGGAAATCTCTGTGGGCAATCATTTACACTCCTAGGGGATGCCTCTTCTTTTGTTAAAGGAAATTTGCTTTTTATCATTCAAGGGAGGATTTCACTGGAACCTTCCAGTTTGACGTCTTCTGAGTTGGTGGAGAAGCCATTACATTAAGAAGATAAACGCAAAATAAGAAAGATAATTGTTTGGGGAGGTTGGGGTTTTCTCTCCAGAACGTTGCTTCCCAATTAACGATTTCCCCACTAGCTGGGCCTGACCCGTTGCTCCTTTTCTGCTACTTCCTTCTAGATTTTGCTGAATTTGTCTTCCTGGGTTTGTTCCTCACCGAGATGACTTTGAAGATGTACGGTCTGGGGCCAAGGAACTACTTCCATTCCTCATTCAATTGCTTCGATTTTGGGGTAAGAAGGGAAGGAAGTGAGGCCTCTCTGCACAATCGTGGTTTTATGCATGAGGTCCCCCACAGATGAAGAGGTAGCAAGGATTGTGTCTAATGGGTCAGGTAGGGTTGATGGTGGAGGACAAAGTTGCATCATCAACTATGGTATATTCTTAACAGCTAGCAGAGAGCTCCGTTTTCAAGTCAGATCTCGAATCGGCACGGAATGGCGCCCCCAAATTCAGCTATTCGGTGCTGTGCATGGGGGTGACTCAGCTGAAGTTCTGCGCCAAAGAAGGTTGTGCAAACATTGTCATAGTCTGGTTTTTTTTTTCCCCTGAACCCTCCCTTCCACAAAACCCTGGAGGGATTACTCTGACCTCGTGGCTCCGATGTGTCATATTTGCAAGAACAGAAAAAAATAGCCTTTGGCAGATGTCCATTGCCGCCCGCACAAGTGACACCAATTAGCTCCATCCCTGGCAGGTCTCGAAGGAGAAACCACCTGAATCCTGAATCTAGATTGGATTCGTTGTTGGCATCGATGGCCTGGGCCAGGGGTAGGCCACCTTGGCCCTTTTATGACTTGTGGACTTCAATTCCCAGAATTCCTGAGCCAGCATGGCTCAGCATGGAAACTCTGCCTTTCCCCTCAGCATGGCTGGCTCAGGAATTCTGGGAGTTGAAGTCCACGAGTCATAAAAGAGCCAAGGTGGCCTACCCCTGGCCTGGGCAGTTGACAGAAATCAAGCTGCTTGCTATGACTGTCCCAATAAGGACAATCAAGATTGCTCCTTTTATGAATCAGCCCTTGGAGAATTCAGTTGGTGCTAAATCACACACGGTTGGGTGTTGGCTGGCTTGGTTAGCTCATCCACCAGCAGGAATGGTGCAATACAGCTCAGGTCCCAGAGGGGCTTTGTCAAGAGGCCACTGGACATAGTTTTCCCCTTGAAGACGTTTCACTTCTCACCCAAGAAGCTTCTTCAGCTCTGACCGAGGAAGGGATATGAACCCCACCTCTCTCCTTCCCGCTGTTCCAAGAAGGTTCCACCACCCATTTGCACTGTTCAGTTGACCCTGAGGGCACAGATAAACCTCCAATGACTCGTAATGAACAGATGACTGCAAAGAATGTAAATCCTTCCACCCTCCGCCATTCAGTCAGAACTGAAGAAGCTTCTTGGATGAGAAGCGAAACGTCTTCAAGGAAAAACAACATCCAGGAACCTCTTGAAAAGGCACCTTTGGGACAAGCCATGACCTGGATGATTTGAGAATCTCCATAGGTAACGAAGGAAGCAGTTTGTAGATGATGTGGACATATCATATCAGCTGAACCTGCTGCCCCAAGACTGAGGAGCCATTTCCAACTTCTCTTGTTCCTCTCTTGCTCAGACAATGCTTTAAAATGGGAATATGTCTTCAAGTACTGTTTCCATGGAGACATATCTGTTTTAAAAGAGGAGAGGTGGCCACCGCATGCAGGAGCCCCTTGTACAAATGAAACTGAATAGCTTCTTCGCCATGGGCAGAAGATCTCAGACGATCTTCCCAAAGGTGCTTTTTCCAGAAGGCAACTGGACTCTCTTGTTTGTTTGTTTTTTGTTTGTTTTTTGCTTCTCATCCAAAAGCTTCTCCAGAACTTCATGAACTGAAGAAGCTCCTTGGGTGAGGAGCAAAATGTCTTCCAGCGGCTTCAGTTCACTTGATGGTTCGACCTCCTTAAACCGAAGTTTGGTTTGCTGAGCTTGTCAAGTTGGAAAGCGGACAGGCTGGGCTCAAGACCCGAGCACCGCAGGACAGGGTGAGCTCCCGTTCCTTGCTCCAGCTCCTGCCCACCTGGCAGCTGGAAGGCATGAAGATGTGAGTAGATAAATAGGTACCCCTTCAGTTGGAACAACATTCTGGTGCTTTTGGCATGTAGTCATGCTGGCCACATGATCATAGAAGTGTCTTCGGACAACGCCAGCTCCCTCAGTTAACAAATGGATATTAGCACACACACACACACACACACACACACACAACTTAGATTCGGAGAAGACTGTGCAGGGACATCCTTTATCTTTATCACGATAGCTAATAAGATGAGTTAGTTCCCAATCACAGGCTTCATCGTATTTCCCTACCACCATGTTACTACCTCTCTAGGCCTACATCCATGCCGGAAGAGGGGTCTAGGAGAAACTGGACACCTTAGTTGCACATCTCTGTAGTACAAGACTAGCTAGTTCAAGGCGGGAGCACGACAAGGGTCTTGGCCTCCCGCTTACAATGAAAAAGTGTTTCTTTTCTGAGCAAGCTGATCTGAGATGCTTCTGCAAGATCGATTACATAGACCAGGATGGGGTTACAAGAATTCCAGCAAGTGAACGCTTTCCCATCACGATCGATATACCCGTCCCAGAGGTTAAGGTGACGGTGCCCTCATTTCCCCTTGTTACTGTATTTCTGCAGACTAGTAACTCCCTCCTGTTTTACGGGAGGTTGCAAATGATTGCTTACAAAGCACTTTCCAGGATTCTTCTCGTTCTGGGTACCGACCGGTAGAAGGGGGTGTTATTTTTAGGACTATGCAACACAATGTGCCAGAAGAGTATGGGGCACAAGTATCCCCCTCCTTTCATTTTATTTAAATATCTGGTTGTTTTTCTTGAGTTACAGATCTGCATCTCACAGCTGCCTTTTGATGCTGGTTAAAAAAAAAATCAGATTCAGGTTAAAATAATTTCTATGTTTACTCCTACATACCAGTTCAACTAAATTGTGCTGTGCAGTCCTTGTAGTTTTGCAAAACCCAGGGTTGGCACGTCTTCCTTTTTTCTTTCTTCCTTGTCTCCTGCTATTATTATTATTACTATTATTACTATTATTATTATTATTTTGGATCATCGCACAGTCAGCCAGATGTTCAGACTGGATTTGGCATTTTGTCTACCTATCGAGTCCTTACCCAGGACCTGGGATAGGCAGATGTGGTTGTTTGATGGTATTACAGGTATCGTCGCAGGATGGAAGCAGTTCCTAGTAAGGCCGCCTTTTGCAATTGACTAATAGCGAATTTGTCAATCCAATGGTGTTCAATGCTCCAGTTGTTTTGGGATTGCACCCAAGGAGTCTATTACTATTGGTACTACCCTTGCTTGCTTTTGCCACAGTCTTTCTATTTCTATTTGTAGGTCTTTGTATTTTGTTATTTATTTTCTGACTGTCTGGGCTGAAGTGAGAAAGAAAACAAAAGAAATCCTGTTTTTTTTCTTCCAAAGAACAAAATAGTAAAGATATGCCATTGGCTTAAAAAAAAAAAGTGAAGTCGAGTCGACTGTGAATTGAAGAGCCAGTTGCCAATAAAGGAGAGAGGCAACTAATTTAAACAACACTTGATCCTGTTAGCAGAATGGAAACACTTAGCATACCCGATTTTTAAATACATATTAAGTTTTTATGTACAGTTTGACTCTTGTTGTACTTCTGTGCCTAGAAATACAATGTAGGATGAAGCAGCATTGAGCAAACTGGTGTATTGTGTAGTTGTGCCCGCTGTTTAAATTTCCACTGGGAAGCCAGACAGAAAATATATTTGCTTCTGTATAATGTGTGAAACAAGCTGATTTACTATTGAGTAAATCAGTTTGGAAAAATAGATGGAGATTCTCAGTCTTCCAGGTCACAAGCTGCCCCAACGGTGCTTTTCCAAAAGGCGACTGGACTGGCTTTGTTTTTGCTTGAAGACGTTTCGCTTCTCATCCAAGAAGCTTCTTCAGCTCTGACTGAATGTGGAGGATGGAAGGATTTATACTCCTTGCAGTCATCTGGCCGTTAGTCCTCTCTCTGAGAATCATGAAGGCCACTTGGAGTTTTATTCACCTGAATGGTGCAAATGGGTGGGGAACTTTCTTAGAACTGCTGAAAGGACTGTGTTGCAAACAGGAGAGAGGTGGTGCCCTATCCCTTCCCCCTCTGTCTAGAGAGGGCTGTTCACTCGTAATTTCCTTTTTTCTTTGTCTCGAACCCACCACCCTTTGCTTTTGCGCAGGTGATAGTCGGAAGCATCTTTGAAGTCATCTGGGCTGTGGTGAAACCTGGGACTTCTTTTGGCATCAGCGTGCTGAGAGCCCTCCGACTGTTGAGGATCTTCAAAGTCACCAAGTAGGTTTCGGACGAATTTGTGGGAACCGTGCACGGCAATTTGCTTCAGTTTAAAAACGCCCCTTTTCATTTGTGGCAACGATGGACAGGCCGCATGCTTCAAAAGAATAAAATAAAAATGAGAAGAGCGTGCTTTCCACCTAATGGTGCTGCTTTCCCTTTGATAACTGAAGGACCCTTTCATAACTTTGAGCGGAGGTTGTGATGTAGGAGTGGAGAACCACCAACTTTTTGTTTGAAAGAATTGTTTGGTAGCATTGTTTCCTTCAGGAGCTCCATCCAGCGTGAAAAGTTCTCATTTTTCCTCCACAATAAACAGCCTGGCAAGAAACATTGGACTCCCATCATGGGGCCAAGTCAGTGACTTGAATTTGACACCCAGGTCCTTGTCCAACTCCTTTAACCATGATTCTATCCTGCTTTTTC